AAAGCCTGCAGAGCCTGCCCCTTCATTAATAGGCAAAGCCGTACAAGAGTGCCTCTGGCGGCCTCTAGCGGAGAAAATGGGAAGCCGCGCGTGACCGAGGGAGGAGGAAAAGGGCTGGCAGGGCGGGGCGGGGCGGGGCAGGCCCTCCCGGAGGCTGCAGGCAGGAGCGCAGGCTCTCCAGGACGCTTCAGGCGGGAGAGCAAGCTCTCCTGGAGGCTACAGCTTCGGCTACAGCCTCGGCTACAGGCGGGGCAGCCCTCGCCGAATAAGAAACGTGCAGTCACGTGACGTGGCCCACACTCCTATTTCCCCCCGGCGCTTGGAATGCGGCGGCCCTGCCGGGGCCCGGCCCGCGCTAGGCCCGCGAGTCCCGTGGCCCCAAGCCCGGCCCGGCCCCGGCCCGGCCCAGCTCTCTCTTTCGCGCCGACGGGTATGATTCGGCCAAAGTGGCCCGGGGCCCGAGGCGCTGCTCCCGGCAGGCGGCGGCGGCGCCCGAGGGCCGCGGCCGTATCGCATGCAGTATTGGAAATGAAAGGGACCCGAGCAGCCCGACTTTCCCATATAGGCCTCGCGGGACGATTCGCGCGGCCGCCTAGTGTCGGATGGTGTAGCCCGGCCTCCGCAAGCGAGCAGACTTGGTACCCAGACCCAGCGAGGTATGGTATGCGCAGAGCTGCCTCGGAGCCGCCGTTCGCCGGCGAACGGGCCAGAGGCCCCAGGCCAGGCCCCGGCAAGCCCCGACCCGGCAAGTCCCGCGCGCCCCGCCAAACCCCCGCCGTGGGGCGAGGGGCACCGCGAGGGACCTAGAGAAGAGGTTCATATGGGTTCTGCTCGTCCCTGCAGCAAATGCCCCCCCCCCCTCTATTCCCTAACACACACAGACACAATTCACATCGGCTAGCTAGCTGGCGTCCATCCGATCAGCACTGGCTTATTGGCTGCGTCCGGTAGAGAGTTGGAGGGGACCGTCCCTAATCTTGCCGCGTGCGCCCTGCAGGCCGGCGCGGGGAGGAGGAGGGGCTGTTCAGTGCGGAATAGCCCGGGCCGATGCGCTAGCAAGGAATGTCGTGTTAGGGCGGGAGTGGGCGGGGCGCCGCGGGGCGGGTGAGGGCGAAGGGATGCGACTGGCTGCTGGGTGGAGGGCCGCGCCGGCCGGGCGGGGCGCCGCGGGCTGGGCGCCAGTCTAGAAATAGAAGCGCCGGCCAGACAGTGGTGGGCGTCACTCCATTTCCAAGTCCGCAACCCCCCACCACCCCTCTGGCGCTCCCCGCGCCGCACCCTCGCTCTCTACGTTCGCGCAGCGCCACGATTTGAATGTCGGCGCCAAGAGCGGTGCACAGCGCCACTGCGATCTTCGGCTGTCTCCATGAGGCCGTTATCGACCACCGCCCCCGGCTCCCCGGGTGCGGCGCCGCCCCTTCTTCCTCCCCTTGCCTCCACCGCCCCCCGCCACGCCCGGCGTGTGGGGTTGTTGCCCTGATGGGCTGTCGCCCCCGCAGAACACCGCAATCTTGTTTGAAATTGCACTTAGGGCGGGAAAGCCGACACGATTGTCCATCCAGCCCAAATGTTTAAACACTGTGAGTGGCACGGAGGTAGGCGAACCGTTCTGACAGCCCAGCCTGTTTGGTTCAGAACGCAGTAGTGCCAACTCATGAAAAATATGCCGCGACCTGAATTCGCATCCCCAGCGGTAGGCTGAAAAATTGGCGAACAAAACCGACTTTCCGTTCTGAAAAGCTGTTGCATGTAACGATCTACGCTATTCTAAAAACGGTTAAAATTCGTCTTCCAACCCACATGGAATTTTTTACCGTGGTAATCTTGTACAGGGGTCTGTGACCGGCGTAATCGGGGTTAGGTTACCCTCTGGTTCACCTTGCTTTTGGTATAACAGTAAAAATACATTTCAGCGCACACAGCCTTTCCAATAAATAGTAACTGGCATTAGCCGTAAAATTATGATTCGAAGGCCACGTTGGACGATCGTCTTAATTCAATTGTAACCGACAAGACTAGAACTAACCTTACGAAGTCTTAACTTTAATTTTCATTTGTGTCCTTATGGTAGAGAGGCCTAAGCACCCTCAATAATATTTAAGTGGGACACAGAGAAACAATTCCCACATAAATGTTTACGTGTAGTAAATATTACGTGTCGCACAGCTCCGCCGACTTATAGCAAAGGGTTATTACTGACGAGACACTCACCTAGTTCTGTATTCCTGGTTTTCAGCCAACTTCGCTGTTGATTTTCTCCAACCGAAAAACCTCTGGCTCGAAAAACAAACCGTACGATGCTCGCACCTCTCAGAGTAGGGCTGAGAATACACCCAGTCCAATAGCCCTCGCCAAGGGCTCAGAGGGCGGTGCCCCTCGCAGCCCGTGCCCGGCCCAGCCCTTCCCACTCCTTCCCCCACCGACCTGGGCCTGCTCACATCGTCTCAACCCCTTCCGCAAAGTCACCTAACCCGCAAAACAGCGCGGCCCGAGTGCTAACGAGACGACCGACTCGCTGTGACAAAGTGGGGCACACAGAGGAATAGATAAATGGATCTGAACTCACAGCAGACGTCCTGGTGCGGGTGGCTCGTTGCACCCCAAAGGGCTCGGGGGGCCCGGAGGGGCGGGGCGGTGTGGGGCAGTCGATATGCGGTGGGGCGCAACGAGTCACGGCAGCCGAGGGGGACCGGCCCGCCCGGCCCTCCCGGCCTCGGCTGGAGGAGCTCGCCCTGCACGGGGTGCGCGGCGTGCTCGCGGAGAGGTTAGGCCGCCCCTCCCGTGCACGGCACCCCGCACGGCCCGGCCCGGCCGCTGACGGCGTAGGGTAGGCAACCGTCGGGCACGGGTGCGCGACCACGGGGGATGTTGCCTACCTGGCAAGGGGCCCAGGGAGCGCGGCCGGCGCGCCCAGCAGGAAGGCGGGCGGGCACCCTGCCTCGGCCGCGCTGTGCCATGGGCCGTGCCACTGCAACGCGAACTGCCGAGAGGAGGGGCGCGGGCCTAGTGCGGGGGCGGGTGGGGCCGCGCGGGGCTGGGCGGGGCTAGGCGGGGCCGTGGGCGGGCTCAGCTGTGCGGGGCGGCGGGGCGCGGAGGTGGGTGGGCCGCACCGGAGGGAGGGAAGGGCCCGGCCCAGCGGCAGGACAGGGTCGCACAGGGCAGGAGGGCCCCTGCCCCCGCGGCCCCCGCAAGGGCCTAGCGAACTGGCGAGCAGAACCGCCGCACCCCCGCGGCCAGGGCCGAGAACAGTCACAGGCCGACCCTGCTTTAACGCCCGGGCGAGTACTCTGTTCACCGCCATCGATAACCTGAGTAGAAATCCTACATTTCATGTATGGTCATGACGGATTTGGTCACATGTGTCGTGGCGTTGTCACATTTTATGTCTGGGTCAGCGTAGTGGAGGTGGCGGCAAGGACCCGGGTCCGGGTAAGGATGAGCAGGGGCTGGGCGGGGGAAGGGGGCTCCCACCCAGGCCGACCCGGCCCGACCCGCCGCGGCTCTCGAAATAGACCAGAGGAAGGAAACGGAACGGCGGCTGTGATAATCGAGGGGAAGCTCGTCAGCTCCCTGCCCACGCGGCATTGTCGAATGCGCCCAACGGGGGGATATTTCTTTTTCGCCCCGATTCTTTGATAGGGGCCGCCGGGCTGCCGCCGGGAATAGCCATAAGCCTGGCGCCGCAGAGTGGGCGCGGAGGTAACCCTCGAGGGTGAGGGGCCGTGCCGGGCCGTGCGGCTGAGGCCAGTGGCACGCGGTGGGTGCCGCCGGGTGCCGCCCCGCGACGGGCGCCGTGTGCTTGTCTGGGTGCTACCAAGCGGGGCGCGGGGGCTGAGGGTGAGCGGTGGGCGCGAGGAGGGTCCGCTATTCCTAGATGCGTCTAGGCTTATTTCAGGCGGGGCGCGGCGTGCCGGCGGCCGAGGAGGAGGAAGACTCTCTTCGACAGCCTCGAGCCTCGCTGAGGTGAGGCTGCCGCTGAACCTCGGCGCCTCCCCCTCCCTCCCCCCGTGCCCGGCGGCTCCGACATCATGCTCCACCGCCGCGGCACCCATCGCTGTTAGATGGAGCGAACATCTCAGCCCCGCGGTGCCGAGCGGACGAGCGAGCGGCGTTAGCGACGTGGCTCCGGCACTTCATCACCTCCTGAGGCGGGCCGGTGATAGGGACGGCGCGTTTGGCATCGACTCTACCGACATTGCACGCGGTGGCGATGGGGGGCGTGATGCACGTGTCCGGGTCGTGTTGTCGCGATGTGCAGCGGCGGCGGGGCTTTGCAGGCCTGTCTGTACGCACACCGCGAACTCTGCACAGTGAGCGTCGTGAGCATGCCCCCGACCCGGCCGCCTGGTCCGAGCCCACGCCGCGCCACGCCGCGCCCGGATGGAGCAGGGATGCTGCGCGGCTGAGCGGCTGAGCGTGACGTCACCCCTTGCTCAAGATGTTGGCGAGGCGAGATGGCCCGTGGGCTTGGCAGGCGCAGGCCCGTCCCAGCCAGGCTGGGGCCCGGTGGGGCTTCTGGGGCCTGCTGGGGCCGGGCACAGCACAGCGGGGCACGTCGGGGCACGGCCCGGGCACAGCGTGCCGGCCCGAGCCCGAGACCCCGCAGCACAGAGCACATAACGGGTGGAGGCCCCAGTGGGTTGGCGGCCCGGTCGCGCAGCGCCGACAAGGCGAGGAGAATGGCGGGGAGGAGGGGGAAGGGGGGGCCGGCCGGTGCGAGAGAAGAAGAGGGGCACCCTGTGGGGCACAGGGGGCGTGATGGGGGGCCCCCAAGGGGCTCCGCGTGGGGCGTGCTGGACCAGACCCGCACCCAAGCCGGTGGTGGTGGTGTGGCCAGAAAAGTAGGCAAAAAGACGCCCAAACATACGGGGGTGTAAGGCGGGCAGTATCACCGCCTGCCTACTAGGCAACACCTCTGCACGCGTCGGTCGGACGGGTTGGAGGGAAGTCCCTTGGCTGCCTCGGGCTTGAGCGAGAAGGGAAGCCAGTACAGCATGTAATTTCGATTTTCGGCAAGAGTCGTTTTATTTCCTATTTGAATCGTTTACAGAACAGTTTGCAGTTAAGTGATTTAGGTCTAGAGAAAATAGCCCAAATATGCAAATGACTACTGATATTTGCTAATTTTACAACTTAACAGTTAAAATATAAAAGAGAAACATAAGCATCGGTCTTTATTTTAAGCTAGTAATACCGTATTTCTTATCAATTTGGTATGGACAGTAATAAAGAAGATATATAATACATTTTGTAGAGCTAACAGGAATGGTGGAAGTTCAATTTCTAGGATATTTCCTTGACTTTCTACAGACACGAAAAAAAAAAAGCATTTTCTGCATCCTCAAGATGGTCATCAGTCTCAAATGTAATTTCTTTAAGAAACTCTAGATCATAGGTTAACATCACAATATCAGTAAATTTTACATAACAAATGAAAATATTTATTAGACTACACCAGTAGCACTTGCAGCATTAGCAGAAGGTTGGGTAGGTTTGGTCATTATATTTGCAACCTGTAAAAATACAACATTTTTCATGAGGTTGAAAGTTAGAAGAAAAGTTCAAAACATTTATGATATCACTACTCACATTCTGAATAACTTGTTTCCTAAAGAAATCTGTCACATTTGTAGACATACTTTTCTCTGAGCCAAATCGGCACTTAATATAGCCGTAAAGATTAGCTCCATGTAGCAATAAAGCAATAGTTGTAACCAGCTGTTAAAATAATGTAATACTGAATCATTTCAATTTATTGCTTAATTACAATTCAAATGAAAGTAATATTCCCACCATCCATTTGAAGCTCAGCCCTAGTGCACCAAATATCAAGAATATGGCCCACAGTACAGGAAATACTGTAAGACCAAACCAAAACACACGGGCTTCTCTTGGGTGGACTCGGCTCTGGGTACCCTGTGGCAAATGGGGTTGTTATGATGAGAGCAGGAGAAGAAGGAATTAATCTTCCGAAAAGTAAGATAAAGAAAGAGTATATTAGGGACAGTAAATTTCAGAATTTCATTTGCACACCTTTCTTGACTCATACACCCAATGGGACTTTCCATTATCATCTACATAGTTCCACCACCTCAAACCTACAAGGAGACGACCTAAAAGAAAGAGGATTTTTAAGGTGTGTTAACCATGGCATTATTTGATGGGTAACATACTGTAATAACTATCAAATGAAATCAGTAATTCACCTGTAATATTTTTAACCGTCCAAAAGTCCATTGACAATAGTAGTATAAGAGTGACAAATATTGCAATAAAACTATTGCTAACAAATGTTCCAAATAGGTATGTTATTAAAGCCACACTCCGAAATAATAAATGAAAAAATATTACATAGGGATGCCTGTAAGAGAAGGTTGATAGTGAAAGTAAGGTAAATTTTTTTGACTATCTTTAGAAATGTACTATGCTGACCTGTAAGACGAAGAATTTATATTATCCTCTTCGCCAAATCCTATTGTGTCATCTGTATCAGTCAGGAGAGGAACCTGAAAACAAAGAGGTTGTACCATGACCCTAACACGTCAAAGTAAATATGGCACATAAAGTTGTTGTCGTTTAAAACGCCATCATAATAAAACTAATCGGAAAACAATATTTTGTTTGAAATCTTGGACAAACATGAGGAGGTTATGTGGCTTCGTTGTACATTTGACACTAAACTCTCGAGCCAAAAGAGAAAAGATATTGCCATGATAAAATGTAGTCATACAAGCTGATCCAAAGTCGAAGTCATGGCGCAAATTATTTCACATTTACCCTGATAAATTGCTAATCGTATTAAATTTATCAAAAGTACTTACCTTAGCAGACGCCATGTTGACAACTGTTCGTTTATTTTTCACTGTCAATTGTATGTGTACCACATCATCAGCAGCTCATTGACGCACATTTGAAATGAAATTGGAGAAAGATGTTTTTTTCAATCGCGGGTAAATTGTTAAATTGATAAAAACTAAAGATTTTCTCTAGTTATGAACGGGAAAAGTGTTATGCGCCCTTATTATAAAATGTTTACAAAGTTGTTCGGTTGGTATCAGAGTTGTTTACAAATGTCGTCGTGTCGGCTGCTGTCAGTGGTACTTTCAATTTGTTCAAAACTGGTATGTCAGCGAAGTGTTCAGATTTGCGCTTATCTATGTTCAAGACGAAGAATAAAGTGCTGCTGACATAAGTTTTACGAGAATATCAAATTATGACTGACATCGATGTTGAAAGAGGGAAAACCACTTCCCACAGAGAACTAAAACAAGCTGCAGCATGGGTACCTGGTTATTTCATAAATAAAAAAACAAATAATTGTATTGTATTACATTTTCTCTGAATGTAGTCTTCTTGTTGTCTAGGTTGAAGATGAAAGCCAAGAAATTAGATTAAACTCGTCCAGTTCATCGTCAAATAATGAACATGAAAGCATTGAGCAGTCCAAGATTGAGCCAAAGAATAATTCAGCTCATGGGTATTCTAGCCCATCTCAAGTTTCAACCAAAGAGTATCCTCAAGTTGTTGTGAAGGAAACCGTTGATGTAGAGCAAAGGGAAGTAGATTTAATTCCTACACAAGTCACACCTCGGCGCTATGGTACCAAAATTAAATCTAGTCAAAATGCTAGTGCTTCTGGTTCCACAACTACTTCACCCCTTAAAACACCCCTTGAAAAACTAACTCGCATTCCTGATAAAAAAAGTCACCAGGTGGGTTCTACTCCAGAATGTAAATCAAGTCAAATAACTGTCCAAGTTTCTCATTTCAATTTTTATTTAGGTAACTAAGAATGATCAAGGTATGGAGAGACTGAGCTTAAATAGCCGAAGAATGTCAGCTGGGGATTCTTCACTTGATGGTCGCAGTATCACATCACAGTCTTATTCTGAGACACGTTCTTATAGAGATAAACTGAAAGACCGCTTCCAGTCTGTGAAGGTATATGGCGGTTGAATATATATGTGAAAAATATTTACCTTGAATGAAAATTTGTGTGGCTTCTTTGATTTTTATCTTTGTTTTCTCGGTTCTGTAACAGGAAAGAGCTGGCAATATTACTTCAGAAACTAAATCTAGGAAACTAATGATGGATTCCATTTCCCAACAAACAGCTAAACAGTCAAGAGCTGATGAATTAGTATGCTATATTTTAAATTAGTATAAGTATTCAAGTTTTTGTTATTATTTTGTATAAAAGTTTATGCTCTTTTTGCAGCTTAAAAAGGAAGAAATGGAACTTGAGGCAGCATTGGAAAAGCACCAAAATACGTATAAAAAAAAACAGATGGATGGCATCTCAGGACAGCAGGTAAGATAAAGTCTCCCTGTAAGTTAGATTTATTTAGAACATACCTCCATTCATGTGCTTCTTTCATGTTTTACATGTGTGTCTAAAGATATCTTCGGCAGATATGTCAATGGACTTTTTTGCTAAAGTTTGGGATCCAGAACCAGAAGTTGTCGGTTCTCCAGTGGCTCTTGTTTCTCAGGAAGAAGATGAAGCTAGTCGATCTTCATCTGGTATTTCTTACCTTAAATTAAAGTTTCCTTTCACCTTCAGCAATTTTGGATGTGTTTTTTTCTCTTCCTGATTTAATTATATATTTTTTAAAGGAGATATCTTTTAGAATTAGAAAAGAGACTAACATAATTTGACCTTTATTTATCTTAGGCCCATGTGCTGAAGATCAAGTGGATGTCACTGGAGGAAGGGACCATACTAAATTACTAGCAGCTGACTATTTAGGATTCAGCCGAGATGAGTGGGAACTTGTTGACCATTCAGTGGGTCCTATCCTTGATGGCAAAGATAAATCTTGTGTTAAGGAATCTGAATTATATTTCTATCCATCTGCAGCGCCAGGTAATTTGAGAATCACTTCTTTTTTTCTAAAGCCAATGCAATATCAAATAAGCAATATTAAGAGGATTTTTACCTTTTGCTTGATGTTTTTCGTGACTGCAGTATCATTAGAAGATCGGTTAGGTTCTGGGAAAGAAGTCAGGTTTCGTGAAGAAGAAGGACTCTTTGTTGGTCATCGCCCAAAAGTACGTACAAGTAATATTCATCGTCTGGAAAAGAGATTGCTGGAACAAGGAGGGAGGTGAGGAAAATGCATGATTCATTTTGTGTGGTTTTAGAAGATTGCTTACTTAAATTGCTACTTAAATGGCCATGTCTTGTTTAGGCATTGGTTTGGAGATGATGGGGAATTGAATACAATGCCTGATCCTTTGAGATCAGCACCATACCGACCTCCAAGCCGCTCTCAAGGTGCAAAGTGTCTTCAAGTTGAATATATCCCTGTAAGCCAGTCATAATTAAAATAACAAAATGAAACTGTCATATATTTTTCTGTTTCCAAAGTTTTAATGTATTTTTTTATTCTTTTTAGGGGGCTAAGCATCTTGTATATGAGAGTAATTTGGCCTCTGAGGGTGCAAGTTGTGCACTACTAGAAATCCACATCGGTACCCTATCTTTTCATCATCATCCATTATTTAACCAAGAACATGTGCTATCTCAACGTTTATCTGATTTATATAACCAATACAGGTAAAAAGTTGTTCCCTGTATGTTTGGTAGCTTAAAATTAATAAGATTTCTCATTTAGGAAAATGCTTGTTTTCATTTGCAGTGTTAGGGAGGTGATGCAGCAAGAGGAGAGATTAGCTGGGCGATTGGACTCACTTCGTCAAGCGTATGACAATCTTCAACTTTTGCTAAACTCCAATGCAGCTGATATAACATCACAACAGTTAGATCGAATGCAATCGTAAGTAGTTAAATTTAGAAATTTTGTCTGCCAGACCATCAAAATTCAAACAAATTCAATATTTCTCAATTTTCATTGCAAGGTACAAAAAGGAAATTCGTGCTACCTGGCAACACTTACTATTGGAAGGTTTCCGAAGCCGTCAACTTCTTCTGTCTTTACTCTCATGTTGGCGTGATCTCAGGAAACTTCGAGACACTCAAGGATTTACTTGTACACCTCTAAGACTAGTCATCCATCGAGAGCAGCTTCCTCACAATGAAATGCTGGCTGAAAAGATTAAATGGGAAAATGAAATACGTCAGGCATGTATTGAAATGGAAATGGAGGAACAGGAAAGATTTAGTCATGAGTGGGAGGTATATCAGAGTCAACTAGAAGTTTGGAAGAAACAACAAATTATGGTATGTCATTCTAAAAGTGATCCCTTTTTTTATTTTTCTGTTGTTGTCCAGTTTTGTAATTATTTATCCCCATTTCATTCTTTTTTCATATTTTAAAACACAATTGTTTTGTATATTTATTCTTAAAGAGAGGAAAAGTTTCTGATGTAAGACAAGAAACAGTTGCAAATGAGATGGAAGAAGGAGCTGAGGAACAAACAAACAGTGATGTTACCTCTCAGATTATCACAAACTCACGTGCAGTTATCTCAGTTGAGGAACCAGTGGAACCAAAGCCTTTTGATGGCAGCAAAATTAGAGCAGAAGTTGTTGATAAAATGACTCTTTGCTTACGTCCTCCTGGTGAACCTAAGTTAAAATTTGCTCTCAAAGAAACGGAGAGCATTGAAAATAGTCCAAATGATATTGGGTAAGAATGAGAACATTTCCACACACTAAAGAGTGTTTTAAGTGTAATGGAAAACTGCATCATTCAATTTTTTACTGGTGTTTCAGTTGACCCATTAATAGACTCTACATAATGTTACTTTTTTAACTTTACTTTATTACAGGGAAAAGCAGCGCCGCAAAGCCCTGAGAAAGTGTCAACTTTTTGTCAGGGTTTTTTACAATAACAAAGAAGTTTGCAAGACACATGCGCACCCATTGGGTTCTAATTTTAAAATAGTATTCAATGAATGTTTCTCAATTCGAATTTCTCAACCTCCAGATAGCATTCATCTCTCCGTAATTGAAGATGGGGCTGGAAGTGGAAGACACCATTTAGCCCAAATATATTTACCTATTCCTTCAGCGTAAGTAGATTCATTTGACTGCCTTGAAAACGGATTTTCATCTTCTTATTCCAGTTTTTCATTCTACAGTAATAAAACTCTAAAATCAGCTGCAATGGAAAACCATGAGTTCAGTAGTGATCGAATAGTATCTTTCAGCCATACTGGTGTAGGTAGTGGTACATTTATCAGTGGATCACCGGTGGTGAATGGATGTTTGTACACTTCTGGTGTTATCAGCAGCCGCTCAGGATGGGGTATTGACCAGGAAACAAAATTGATTCTTGCTCCCCAGCAAAAATACCTGCCATCTAATGACAGGTAGACAGATTGTATCTTTTCAATTTCATTAGTTCTATGTACTTCTTAATTGTTTTTAAAATTAATGAGAACCTGATATTTATAGTGAACAGGTTTCATCAAATATTTTGTCTGAGTTGGGGAAGGATGGAACATTAGATTTAACAAAGTTGACTGAGTGGGCAAAAAAATCTCAACTTGATCCCAATGATCCTTCCAATGCTTCCTTCTTTTTCCTTGTTAAGGTTGTGAGAACATTATTTTGGATTAAACCTGATCTTTCTTGTGCAATTTTAAAACATGTTTTCCTTTTTTAGAACCTAAATGCAAACTGCAAAAGGGATTCAGTTTGTTTCCGTTTAGATTCTTTACTGAGGGAATTTGATTTCTGTGACAGTAGAAGTCTTGATAATAATCCAAGATTGAAGATGCTTACTCTTAGAGCTCAGGGTGAATCCGAATTTCGAGAATATAAATTGGTTCCAAATCGAGAAAAGGAAATTCCTCTTGAAATTTTTAAGGTAGGGCTGTATGAAAACAAGAACTACAACAACAAACAAACTGTGGCTATTTCCCTTCCTCATTTAATTTTAAAATTCAACATTTGTAATATATTTTCTAGACCTATGAGAAAAGGCTCAATGTAAGTGCTCGTGAAAGTGAATTTGAAATCGAAATGACGTGGTCAGACCCTCTCTCATCACACAGAGCTTGGGGTAGGTTGTACTTGGAGCGTGTTTATCAAAGAGTTCTTGCTCAGTGTAAGCAAGCTCAACGAACCGCTAGTTTGCATCACATAATTGCAGAAGATCAGGTGCCAGACATCAGGTAGACTTTCCTTAGATATTTTACCTTTCTTACAATTCTTTTGCATTTTAAAAATATTCTGTCGATAATTACAGCACCTTAGGTTTGACTTTCATGAAATGGCTCCAGCCAAAGCGACCTCTCAGACCCCTGCGAAAAGAGCGAAAAAAAGTTGCTGTTCAAAGTCTAGCTGGGCAAGATGTAAAACTTATGGTGAATGTCATACGTGCCTTTGAAGTGCCAGTGCGGAAGACAACAGATTCCCTGCTTGGGTCTATGTCAGTACCATCGTCATCTAATCTCGGTTTTGTAACTGTTGCTGTGCGCCCTTTTGTTGAAATATCATTTCAAGGATCAACTCTTCGAACTACCACAGCAGAAGGTGCCAATCCTACTTGGAACCAGGATCTTCAAGTACCTGTCAGGTATATTCAAAATATGTCTAGGGTTTCATATGCATTGCATTAATATGTTATAGTATGATACTAAACCCAACAGCCATGCAAAACCTATGATCTCTGACCAGTTAAATCTATTATATAGCCCCGACCATGGATCTTTATTTTTTGGGAGACAGGGCTATGAGTAGACTGCCGCTGTTGTACTGAGAAGTTACTGGGATAACACTGAAATTGAGCCAATCAGCAAATGTTTGGTCCATATGCTTTCAATTATATGATGTGCTCAAACAATATCATCAACAATGTCATAACATGAATGAAACACAAAATTATTTACCATAAGAAATAGCTCTCAGCTCCTGAATATTTTAGTGGTTCATGAAACTTTTCATTTTGTTAGCAATTATAAGTTATGTCAGCCACAAGCAGTCCATTCCTAGACTTTGACTTTAAACCATAATATAACTGAGCACACCAAGCGATTAATAATGCGGTTTCAATAGTTCTAGATATATTGATTTAGCTGGTTATTTCTTGGTTTAGCCAAACTTTTGGGGTCTAGCTATCATGGATACAAGTAATAAACAAACCAAATTTTTCAGGCCTGGCAGCAGTGACTCAGACACACTATTCATTCACCTGTTTGATGAAGTGATAGTTGACCTTGTTGATGATGACAGACAGAGGGAAACAAGCATACATCAGCGTTTGGAAAGGAATTGGCTTGCAAGTTTACACATTCCTTTTACCACTTTGGTTCATAATGCTCGGGTATAGAACTTTTGCCATTGTTTGAACTACAAATCTCTTCTTTTATTTGTGTCTCCATGTTCTTTCAATTTACATTGTGATTACAGATTGAAGGCACTTTTAAGATGTATTCCCCGCCGATGTTGCTGGGGTATGAAAGAGAATCTCACCAGAGGTCAGGTTGGCAGTCTGGTAATTTTTCTCCAGATCAAGGACAATTATTTCCTAATAGAGATGCTACATTTATTAATCTATTCATAACAGTTCAGCCAGCTCTTAATCCACCTGAACTTTTTAATGTATGATAAATATACTCTCATGAAAATTTAACAAATCAATCTTTAAAATATTTTTGCAAGTGTTTCCTTTTATTTTTGTACTTCTATGCAACAGGAACGTCTGAACAGCAGTGAAGTATCAGCCTTGGAAGAGCATTTAATTCATTTTGAAAGAGAAATGGATGTTTTACTTCCTCATAGAAAGATAAAAACTTTAGTCATTGATGCAAGTGGAAAATCAGTTTGTGTTACCAGATTTTTTCGACCCTTATCTCCACCTGGTATGCTGCTATCCAATTGTTTAAAATTTAATAATATTTTTTTAAAAATAATTTTTTACTTTAAATGTTTCAAATGATTACCCATAAACTTTTATTTCACTCAGCAACATCTTCAGAAACTGTAATAACAGAGGACACTGCTGCAAGATTTGTTTCTATGGTACCCATGGCTCCTAATCAAGGAATGCTTGATGTTTGGTTAACATGTGATGTGAGTGTCAGTTTTATGGTTTTATCCTTATTACCTTCAATTAAATGCCTTTACTGAAAACAAATTTAATTTTTTTACAGCAAATATTGCGTTTAGGTTGGGGAGATTCATGGGCTCATGCTGTTTTATTATGCTGCTATTTTCTTGGCCTGGGCAAAAAAGCTTGGATGCTTATTGGAACAGGAATACCTCATGGAATGACAGCCTATGTATTAGTTCGTGAAAAGCAAGAACAGGACAAAGTACATTACTGGGTGTGGGACCCAACTGCAGGACAACGTTACAGTATTTTTGACTCATTTTGTCCTCTTCAACGAATCTGTGGATTGATAAATGATGAAAATGTACCCTTTTAATCTTTCAGACAGTACTTTGTATACTTTATATCAGTAGGCAATGCCTAACTCCTTTTTGGTTCTGGTTGTTTAAGATCTGGATAAATTTACAAAAAGAAGAACTACCACGACGCACTCAGTTTAATTTGGATCGTAGGTCTGATTGGATGGCTGCATTTGGACGAAGAGGTGCAATTACTGCTCCTGTTGGTAGTGTGCAGCCAGCATCATTGCATTACTCCCCAACATCTTTCAATGCTGCGACAACATTACAGGACAAATTGGAGAAATTCTTGCGGGACTCTCTAATGAAGTGGAGGCGAACCAAAGTGTTAGTTTGGCACCTGCATCTTTACTCCCTGTTATCATTATTTTTTTTTCTAATCATAAATCTCCTTTTTGTTTTGGTTCTATAGAACTCTCTGGAATCGGTACTGTATAGCTACCTTACGCAAAATTCTACCCCGCTTAGAACAAGCTAGTTGCTTTGGTTCTGGGGACAATGCCAGTCCTCATCATACAAGAGAGCTACAACATATTCTAGCCTCACACAAGGTATTCAATTTTACACTGCACACTTTGTGTTTAAATGAAGATTTGACCAGTTGTGGTTATATCTTGACTTATTGCATATGTGAAAACGTAATGCACTCATCAAGTTCATATGTAATCCACCTCTTGTGTTATAGGTTTGCGGATTCCCTATCAACCTTCCATACAAATCAGTTGAAGCGATTGTAGAGGCAGTTAGAGCCACAGGTGTTCACCATAATCAGGATGAAAATGCAGAATTTGCATTGGCAGTCTATGTTCATACTTTTCCTAACAATATTTTATCAGTATGGGTGTACGTTGCATCACTGACCAAACTTCGTTAGGTTAACATGAAAGAGAGAAATACATATATGTAAATAAATTAAAATGTTAAAACATTGATCTGATGGCTAATTTTTCCTCCACTTCTACAAATTTTGTTTCAGTTTTACTTAAAAGCAATTAAAGTATGCAATAAGCTATTTAAAAAAAAAACAAAAAAAACAGAGATTAAGGGAGGGAAGGGGAGGGGAAAAAACATGATATGTTTAACACATTTTCTGTCAGACAACTTGACTGACTGCTTCACCTTGACTCATGTAGAAAGAATGAGGAACTAACTGTCATAAGGGCATGCATTCATCAGTTAAATGTCACTCTTTCTTATTTCGGCCATGGCTCATTTTGAATTTTAATTTTTGAGTGATGATGAACAAGAACAAATTGTGAGTGGGAGAGGGACACAAGCTCTCAGCCATATTCATGAATTACTATTTCTTTTCCTTTTTTCAGGAAATTGTGACCAAAAATTGGGAAAATTTCACAATCTACTTTTGAAAAAACATGTTGAGCAAAGATATCACATTTTGAAAATAAGTTATAGTCAGAGTTACAATAATATAATAATTGAATGTGAATATCCCAGTAAATCAAAGTTGAGAACTTTTTACAAATGTTTTAATTTGCTTTCTATCAGGCAGCTCACTTTTAATTACATATCAACAATCATAAAACACTGGTCAATAACAGTAACATGTGAAACATAACTTGTTTAACTTTGAGGACACACGATTCTTTGGTTTCAGAAACACTCTTCCAAGGCTTGGAAACTCTTTGTACTCACAGCTGAGAATATATAGATTAGCATTAAAGTGCACCTTGATGTTAAAGAAAAAGAAATTGTATACAAGAAAATTTTCTTAATGGCAGTGATTTAGATTATAGGTAGGACATAGAAAACTGTTTCATAGCATAACAAAATAGTTAAAAGAAAGGTTTTGCCATGGATGTGGAGGAGAGGAACCAGGTGGAACCCATCAAAGAGTTTGTTGCCAATTTCATGTCCTAAAATATTTGATTATCGATAACCCAGACTTTACTCCATTTGGATAAAAAGGAAGCATAGTACATACAACAAAGAATGAAATCATTATTGCTAACAAGGAAAAAATTTGTCTGTTTGTTTATTTTGGAATGTTGAAGACAATTCACTTTTTCTATGAAATACCTTCATGGAAAAACCTTGTTGAGTATGGGAAAAGTTGTTGAAATTTTAAAAAAAATTTCCCCCTTAGACTTATACCCGGGTCTTCAAGGTCAAGGACGTGAAGAAAATATGTATATATCTAGTGTAAAATTTAACATATTTTGAGCTGATAACTTTACTACAGTATTCTGGTTTGTGAATTGACAGTTTTACTTTAAAACCAGTCGAAAACAAACAAATGGTTGGCATTAGTGTAGATTTTCAAAATTTTGGGAGAAGTCTGTAACTCATCCCAAAGCAGGTTATTTCTCTAATTTGAGCAACCAACAGAATTCTAGTCCTCACATGAAACAGCGACAGGACTGAATAGGTTTTCCGTTGAACACAATAAGTGCACTAAAATTTAAATGCATAAGTGTTCAAAAATTAAAGAAAAAATTACTTACATTGACACTCAAAAGTTCCTAGAATGTTGTTAGTACATTAGTTAGTTAATCTTAGTCCATGTCAATCTATTTTCTTGCCTTAAACTGTTATCTACTGAGCAATAATGTTACACTAACATAATCAATAAGGCACAATTAAAATAATAAGGTCAGATCAACAATATTTCACTGTTCTTTTTTTAAAAAAAAAACTAACAAGAAAACAACAACATATAAACAATAGCTTAAAGTGCAAATTCTAATTGTCCTTTCAAAAAAAAAAAAAAGTGCTCAACTCAACCCTTGTGCTTCTCGTAATCCAATTCTTTGGTCAAAAATAACAATGCATTAATACAAAGTTTTCATTACATGGAAAGTTATCTTAAGATTGTAAACAAAAATATGTTAGGACAAAGCAATGAAATTTGTACTATCACACTGCATGTTAAACGTCTGCTTCAATAAATTTCAAAACTCAATCATCAGTGTTGACTGAGTAAGACAAGGTTGAACTTGGAAGAAAAGCACACCCACAAAGAGGGATATCACATTAGGAAAATTATAAGCCAGAACGGTATAATCAAAAACCAAAAGAAGGGGCGAAAATATACATGTTAAGAGTAAAGTCCAAGATTGGGTGCTTGTATAAGATTAAGTAGTATTTAGCCAGTACAGTATATATGTTGTTTTCACTCAATATAAACCTGGAATAAAAAAACAACAATTTGATTTGGGATGCAAACAACTTGTGATGTGATATAATCTTAGTATTAATTTAGCAGCATCCAATTCCGGTCTTTACCCACATCAGAAATATATACATTCTTTATAAATTGGTAAATTTAAAATGAACGAGGAGGAAGGTATGATGTACACCTGTATAAATCATGCAGACCATAAAAAATGTAAAGAAAGTTCCTAAACAACGAAAACTATTACAGCTATGTATCACAACTACAGTATGAAGAGGATAGTTGTCCTCTAAACACTAGATCACACACAGAAAGCATTTTAGAATTCAGTGGAGAAATTAATGAGGTAATAAAGTGCAAAACTTCTTCAAAATGCCATCTTAAATACCTTTCAACCATTATCTCTCTCTATATTTTTAAGGATGGATATCATATTTTCTAATCCAAAAATGAAACCTGAATCAGGTCCAGTGTAGGAGACTGGGTCAGCCAGGCCTTGATGAGTTGAATGTGCAAAATCAATTATTCGTACATCAACAGTAGGCTCTGTAGGGACAGAGGCTTGTAATGGGCTGGGAGATGATGGCAAAGACAGATTAGAACTACCTGCTAGGATATCATTAAGTGCGACACAACTGCTGCTGCGTCTATGGCGCATACGCTCGGATCGCTGGCGCTCCTCTTCAAACGCATTGACAATACTCTCCATGTCTTGAGCAGATGGTGAGATATTATTATTTCCTGGACCACTAGACGAACTTTTAGATGGACTATCATATTTAGTCTCAATTGCTTCTTCAAATTTAAAGTGGGATATACTCGCTTTCCTTGGCACATCTGAAAAATTTGTGAACAAATATAATTATGAAGGGTTTTTAAAAATCTAAAAGTTAACAAAGCTGCGTGACAGGCAACTTACTTTCTTCCCTTCCCTTACATTCAGTGCTGTCAAACTGATCCTGTCCTTCATAGAGCAACAAGAGAGATGCTGTATAAAATCGTACAGCTTCTTGCCTATGCAAGACTTCAAGCAATTCCTCTAATCTTTTGATTAATGGCGGAAGTACATCATTACGAATTCTCTTCCCGTTGTGTAGAAATTTACACAGTGCTTGACTAAATCCATTTACAGACAAACTTCGACCATACAATTTATTTCTACACAGAAACCTTCCAGTGGTTGTTTGATACACCTAAAAAAAAAAGACAGATTGAAAACAAATCACTTGGTGTTACAAAACTTTCATTAAAAAAAGAAGAAGAAAAAAAAACAACAAACACCAAACGTACTTGCATGCCTCCAACACGAACACCAAGCTTAGCTGAAGTTGTGCTAACAACTTTAACCATTTTACTCTGTTTTTTGGCTAACGTATCTGCGTCACCATATTGGCGGGTGCCCATTTTAAGGTCTAATATGCAAGGGAATGTAAATTGAGAGGCAACATTTTCTAGCAGAATGAAATCTGATATATTTTGTTAAGGGAATGACGAGGAATGAATAAAGGCACAATTAAAAACTCATAAATATGAAACTAGATAAGGATACTTTGTGTGGTTGCAGTATTTATAATAGCACTGAGATGATCACGATGACATTTTAAAACCCAGGGATTGAGAGCAAGACTTGTGTTGTTTGGCTGAGTTTCTCCATCAAGCGAATCCTCTTCAAATAAAATGTGATCATCTTGATTTACTTCAATACTGCCAGTCCTCCTGAGACGCACACTACCAGGGCAGGAATTCGGAAAAAGATGATAATCCTGTTGAACCTGAGTAGTTTTGCTCACTAAATTTTAATTTAAATACTAACCGCTGAGTTGGTGATGATGAGATGGGCTTATAAAATTTTGGCGGAGTTGCATTTAAAGTGACATAATCTTCTTCCTCTGTCTGCACATTAACTTGAATAACTCCATAGAAGTGAGGCGTAAATTTACTGACAGCCTCCGGAAGTGTTTCATAAAACTGCAATTCTCTTTTCACCAGAGGTTTGCATACTGTTGCTTCATCAAGACATAGCATGGAGGAGTGTCCTCCAACTTGATGTATGAATGGCTCAAGCTGAAATTTAAATTGATTGTCATATATGAATATTCCTTTGTTATTGTTGCAAGAAGAAACCATGAGACCCAAAATTACTGAATGACACAAAATTCAACAGAAACTTACGCGAATGCAAGATGCCTTGGGTACATCCGCCATCAGCTATAGAATTCCAAGGCACATCTGATATTTCTCCAAAATCAATTCAACACCAATAAGGTTAGTGATGTATGGTTGCTAACACAGGTATAAGTTCAATTTCCCTGCAGCAATCAAGATATTTACACATGACAATAACTGAAAAATAATTGCCAAGCAGTTTAAAAAAGAAACTGATACTTTAAAATCTTGCAAAAAACATTATCTCCTTTTAAAATTAAAAAAAATGATGGTACTAAACTAAAGGGCAAGAGGAAAGATGCTTTCTGCCTTTCTGCTAGCAACCTACACTGCAAGTCAAATAAGTCACCAATAATCATACCAAAAATCGTATGAGGGTTTTCAACAGTGGTTCTACACGCATTAAGTTGCTGGTCTGAGGTTCTATATTTTCTTAAACAATGAGGAACAGGTACATACTGATTGTTAATGTTTCCTGAATTTTAGACTATGTTTTCATTAATGACAGTTGACAGGCTATGCTAGATATTTGGAGAGTGTCTTAGACTCTATCGTGACTAAGGTCGTATTCAATAGTGCTCTGATTGGTGCTTCTATCCCCCGCCATGTAACGCGCGTAACACGCGGGAAGGCATGTAAGGTTCAAACAACTGAAGTTCGAGGGTTGTTGTTGTTTCGCTCAGCTTAGTGCTTTTTTTGTGACGAAGTGGGGCGCTGATAGTCTGCTTTTGATTATGCAGTAGCAGCGACAGTAAATCGGGGTTCTATCCAGTAACATGCATCCTGCATCCTACATGTACCCCCCCTCACCCTATCTCTAGCGCTTTACAAGGCGCTTTCCCCCTCCTACCCTGCGCCTTGTAAAGCGCTAGAGATAGGGTGAGGGGGGGTACATGTAGGATGCAGGATGCATGTTACTGGATAGAACCCAGGTGCTGCCACGGCATCGCGCAGGGTGTGTATGTAAGTGCCCTCCCAGAATCCTCACACCCTTTCCTAGAACTATCCCTTTCTCCCAATCTCCCTCAACCAACGCGTTCCGTTCTCGCCCAAAGCCCACATACTATTATCCATGCCGGACAGGTGTCAATAAGCTTCGGACGGCCCCTGCAACGCGAAAGGGTAGGCCGGCCCGCCAAACAGCTATGTGTGGAGCTGGAGCCCACGCTCGGCGGCTCGTCCTCCTCCTCGCGACACCTCCCTTCTTTTTTCGGGCGGCTCGGGGCACGTGGTCTGGTCCCGCCCCGCCCCGTTCCCGTTAGTAGCGCCCCATGACGGCCGGCCGCCCAACTCCACGCAAGTGTTTGGCGGGCTGGCCTACCCAGCGCGTAGCAGGCGATGCAAGCTGCGGCAGCGTAGCCTGAACCTGAACCTAGCATCACCCGTCTCGGTGGCCGACCCAGCCCTCGACGTGTGGTCCGGCCGGCAGGCCGCACCAGCCATCCAGTGCAGACCAAGGAGGCGTGGCCTTATGCCCGGGTCCTTGACGTCCACCGTCCACCTGGGGCATACCATCGGGAGCGGGGCGTGGCGGGGCGTGGCCAGGAGTGGTGCACACACTGGTGACGGCGGCGTCTTACGCAACGTCATGAGCGCACACGGTGCCCCGCCGTGCGCAGTGGATATGAAGTGATGGAAAAAGTGTAGGAGCGACAAGTTAGTTCTAGCCGAGCGCCGCGCCCCCGTCGCGTCGTGTAAAGTGAACATAGTGGCTCTGGCGCCCGCCATGCGCAGGGTAGGCCGGCCCGCCGGGCAGCCGCGTAGTGCCGCCGGCCCGCCCTGAGTGCCTTCCAGGCGCCCTTCCTCCGGGGCCGGGGTCCTCAAGGGGGAGGCGGCGGTGGGGGTTCCAACCAAATAAACACATGTTCCTCGGTCTACAGGCGCGGTTGGATTCGCACTAAGTAAGCAGGCCGCGCAATCAAATAAAATATGCAAAACGAATAATAGGACAGGCATTAAGAGAACTTCAAGGCCCAGCTGATGGAGATACGGCGGCATAGTTTATGGCCGCGGATGCCGTGATGCCGATGGCTGCCCCGCCCCGAGCTCGGCCTGCACTCTGCTGCGCCGCCGCATAGCGCGCTGCCAAGTCGTTACGGCCGACACACGCGGCGGACACGCATCGCTGCGACGCACCGCTCAGGCGGTCCGGTCCGGTCACGCCTCCAGCGCCTCCTGCGCGGGGCGTCCCGGGAGTGCGATTGAGACGGAGTGTGCACGCGGCGGAGGCGTGTGCGAGAGGATATATGGCGTGGAATTGCGCGTCTGGGAAGATTTGAAACAAGGAGAAAATTTCATTATTATGGCCCTTTTACTTTGGTCAAATAATTTTCTTGGTGAGGATATTGTCCGTAATAATGTCACAAATTTGTCCCAAGCCAATGCGTGTGGGCCTGCTTTGGGGAAGAGAGAGGAGAGAGAGGGGGGCGGGAAGGGTCAGGGTGCGTATTGGTGTCAAGAGACAGTGGCGGCAGCAGCGATGATGCAGAGCCCTCTGCGGCCCGGCGGCTCGATCGGGGCCACAAACGACGCCACATAGTGCGACACTGCGACAAACTCGCCTCCGCATCGCCGCTCGGTTCGCTTTTGGATAAATCTGTGAGTGTGTGTCGACCCATTTAGGCGTCTGTGGGGGTTCTGCGAGCGGAAGTGTTTGTTCGCAAATCACTGGTGAAAAGTGAAATCACATGATGCCTGAAAATAAAAATATCAGGGCGAGATAAATATTTTCTTGAGAAAAATATATTAATGGAGTTGTGTTTGTTGGGGTGTCAATGACGGTGTCAAAGATACCCCCACAAAAAGACTCCACAGTGGTCATGCATACATCCATCTCAATATCCCGTAAGAGTGTGTGGGCGATGCTGGAACAAGTGCTTGAGCTATTGGTAGCGCCTGCGACGCGCGAGGTAGGCCGGCCCGCCCAGCAGCTGTGCGTGGCGGGCGGCCAGCCCTGTGGGCGTCTCGCCTTCTCCGAGGCCCTCGACAAGGGGTGGTGGGCGGGGGCGGGGCGGCAGGCACAAGAAAGCGATGCAAAGCGGTCCTTTGAGTTGGTTCGGGGGGCTTGATAATTGGGCACCCCCAAAAATCGAATCCTAAATCGAATTCCTCAATTAGACAATTATTCTTTGGCCGACAAGGTCAATATTTAAACCCTGACCTGCAGGGTGGTTTTTGTTTGTTTCAAGATGTAGTACTGCTGGCTATTTTCCGCCATTTCACCTGTAACAAACATCTTCCCTCGGAACAAACATTTTTCAAGATTTTATTTTCTTGAATTGAAATCAAAAATGTCTGGAATAAGTGTTAGGGGTCGTCCACATATTACGTCACGCGTTTGGGGGGGAGGGGGGGTCTACGCTAGCGTGACGGTCCTATACCAAAAGCATTGGAAGGTTAGGTTAGCCGCGTGACGTGGGGGGAGGGGGGGGGGTCAAAAACTGCCAAAAATAGCGTGACGTAATATGTGGACGACCCCTTACTGAAGGAAAGGTTTCCATGATTCAAGACTTCCGACTTACTTAGTCTCCCCTCATGTTCTCGTGCCCGGCTCCGCAAGGTCCGCTCCCGCCCTTTGTGCGGCCCGCTCGCGCACGGTGTATGTCTGGGCCGCGACACCGCGCGATACCCCCGGGGGCCCCGCGAACAGGTGGCTCGGGCGAGGGCGCGGGGGTCCCGGACTGAGTAACTTACTTTGAATTGTACACCGACTTTTCCCTTCATTGTTCTGATTTTTTCTGACCTTTTCCCCGGATTTCTCCTTGATTCTTTCTGACCAGCTCGTTGGGGACCGCGCACTGCCGTGCAACCTTGCTCATTTCATTCCCTCTGCGCACATTCTGCAAGCATGCAGAGCAAACCTCGCAAACTGCGACCGAATGACCTACTTTCTTCCACCAAAACCTCGCGCCGTAAAGCGCGGCGAAATGTGAGCGTCTGCTCATGGTTGTTTTGTGTTCGCGATGAGTAGGGCTTCGCCTCGTCTGCGTCCAGCCTAGACAGGGAAACTCGATCGCGGATCTAATCTGGGTCTATGCGCAACGCGTTGAGATCTAGGCCAGCTGCCCGCCCATGTCACCTAACCTCGCGCCACCCCGCCGCTGCCCCCCACCCCCGCGACCCTATCGGAGGCAGAGCGGCCGCCAGCAGCAGCGCGGCCTTCGCCGCCAGCGCGGCGGCCTCGTCAGCTCGTCAGCTCCGCGCTGCAGCCAGGCCCTTCGGAGCGGTGTCATCGGGTGTCACGATGCAGTAAGAAGTTGAATTTTGCGTCCTAAACTAAACCACATGTCAGCACCGGGATAGCCTCATACCCGCTTCTTCGTATTTCATTTTACTCTCCACTTTTTCGGCGCCCTTCTGCAGACAGCAGGTTTGAAAAATTTCCCTCTGCTCTGCTGATAGCGTATCATAAAAATGTTATAGGGGTGAGAGCAAGACGATCGTCGCAAAGTCGCTTCTCATTGCGCCTTCCGCATGCAGCCACGCCAGCTGTGACACAAGAAGTATCGCGAGGAAGGCGAACGCGTGGTGGTCAAAATCTCAATCATAGAAGAAGCTCACAGGAGTGGCCGTAGTCAGGAGTAGTAGGACAGGACTCGAAGGGGTGGGGGTGTACGTGGGTTGTTTACTTACAGGGGGTTTTGTGCAGGGGATTGCCTATCTCCTAGGCGGCTTCTTAGGGAACAACGGAAACGTAACAACAGCGTCTATGGGGGTAGGCGGGCCCGGCCTAGAACCGATCCAGCTTCCAAGAGTTGTTCAGGAGGCGTAAGGCACGCCGAGGCCAGCAGAGTTGTGGAACGGCCAGTGATCTCTGCCTCTCTCCACCAGGCAGCCTCGATCGAAAGGTCACTTACTATGAGAACGGACAAGTTACAAAAAGAGGAAAGGCGATGGCGATGCTGTCTGTCACCGTTGCGGGCGCTCATCAGGCGAGTGTTAATAACTTGGATTAACCACCACGGCTAGTTTTACCGAGTTTTACACACTATTTCTTATTATACGTCGCGGGTCGCGGGAAAACCAGCGTGTCGCGTACGTCATCGCCGCTGCATTCCGCATAGATATTGTCCGCAGCGAGAGCGCTTCACTCGTCAACACTCCCCTCCCCTCCCCTCGTCCCGGTCTTGGCGGTGGGGAGGCTCGTCACCGAGGCCCTGCGCTCCGCGACGTCAAGACTACGACGGGGGCCTGCAGCCCGCGGCCGCGCGGGCGCGCGCACGCGCCTCGCACCGAGGGTCGCCTTTGCGATAAAGTCGAAAGTCGCCTTCAGCTTCGCAGATAAGTCAGCTTGTCCCACCCGCGCCCCGCGCTCCTTCACCCCGCCGGTGACCCAAGGGCCGCGTGGGCCCGGCGCTGCGCGGGTTCAAGCACCACCAGCGGCAGCACGGCCTCGCAAGGCTCCTTCATCAAAAAAAATAAAAAATGAAATATCATTGTACACCCCCCACCCCATTAAAAATATTTAAAAATCAGGAAAAAATCGCGTAAAATCAAGAAAAAAATCGGGAAATTAATGGACCCCCCCTCACCAAAAAATAACGTCGAAATAGAAAAAGACAAAAACGGGGTACGTTTATTTTTATAGTAAATTCCCCTCGCACACCGCCGCCTCCGGCTCCTCCGGCTCAGCACGTTAGTCGCGACGAGTCTCGCCTCTTTCCTGTTTCCTGCGTCTCGCCCCCTCCAGTTTCCGGAGAGAAATTACCAGTTTTCGATGTAAACAGGCCCGCTGCAAAAGCGAGCGCCCTTGCCGAGCGTTGCCGTAACCACCAGTCCTTCGCTGATGTAAGCCCACAGGCAGACAGCAGCTATCACGCAGGCAGGAGATAATGGTAGCACATTATTGTGCCTCGATTGTGTCCCTCGGGGGTCACGGATGTATTTGGGAAAAATCCACTGCGTCGGCACAAATTTTCTTGTACTTTGTCCTTTTTCTCTCCTTTAAATTTGAACCGGCCAAAATGTGACTGCATGATGTCTATGTTTAATAAAAAAAGGACGAGCTAATGTAAATGAATAGAGCGGAGAAATTGATCATGTCTACATTTATTCTACAAGATGTCCACGCGAATACAAAACAATACTTTCGAAACAAGAGTAAAAAGATAAAATAAGTGGCTCGAGATACATACTAGTACTCCGTATGCCAGCTTGTTGTACTGGAAACAGAAATAGATTACCTTATAAAATAAAAATGAATAAGGCAACAATAAAATTATAATATAGGTGGAAAAAGAAAAGGAAATCAAGGCAGTGATAAGCCCTGAACCTCCAATTAATAAAAATCATACAATCCAAAACCAACTCAAATTAAGTGTGAACATGTTTTCTATCTGAATGTTGTCTTATATAATTAAATGCATCAAAGCATGTGGAGATTGTTCTTCCAGTGGTTCGAACAAAGGGAAAAACATCAGGGCCAGAGCCCGTCATAAGTTTGGTCTAGACACTGCAAGCACCATCTGCTCATACCCAATACATTTGGAGACTCAGCTTTTGGACGAGTGGCAAAGCAAGCATTTAACCAAATTGTATGCATCTCAAAATTCATTAGGGAAAATTCATTAGAGAAAATTCATAACAAAATTATATCGACACACAGTTTCAATTTTGAAAGGAAAAAAGCCAGCAGGTGCTTAAGTCTCCACCTAACAGCTAAGAAAAGTAATATCAAAACAATTAAAGAAATCTTCTCTCTCCAAGCACTAAGTGCACATAAACAACTAGGATCCTGCTAAATACACAAACTTGGTATTACAGCTTAATACATAGTACTTGCAATACAGATAAATTAATGAAAACAAGCCCATGGTAAAGTAATAGCAATACCTTTACCGATCTCTTCAACCACTACATTTACTTACATCCTTCTCAGACTGGGGGAGGGGGGGGGGCAATATTAAGGCATGGTAGCTACAAGAGTCTCGTCACTCTAAAGCGTAGCGCGATAAGAAACCGAAATTCATCACACGAGGGGACGCCGGCGAGCCGGCCGACGCCTGCCTTGAGGCCCCGCGGCCCGTGTCATGGCTGGGTCAGCTGCGGTGGCCGACGAGGCGGTCCCCGGGGCGCGGCTGGCGCGGCCGGCCCCCGGCGTCCCCGTGCACAAGGCGCGCGCGGGTGCGTTATAATTTTGTACTTTGACTCTATTTGATGAGGTTTTTGGCGCGAAAGACGTCACGCATCAGGTTCTTGAGGTAGCGGATCTCCTGGGACAGGTCCTTCACCTTGTCTTTCAGATCGTCGTTCTTGCGGATCAGCTCGTTCTCCTCGCCCAAGATCTCCTCCACCTCGGCCTTCTTCTTCATGCGGTAGCGCGTGGCGGCGTTCTTGTTCTGCTCCTTCTTGCGCAGGCGCTTGTCTTGCACGTCGTGGGAGTAGGGCTTGCGCTTGGCGGGGCCGCGCTTCCTGGAGGGAGCCTTGCCGGGCGCGGGTGACGCCTCGGCGCTGGTGGGCGGCGTCGGGCTGCCGGGGGCGCGTCCGGGGGTCCACTCGGGGTCGTCGGTCTCGGGGGAGGCCGGCGCGGGCGAGTCTGCGCACGAGAAGTTGCTGCTGCTGCTACTGCTGCTGGAGCTGGTGCAGGGGCTGGGCGGGGCGAGCGCCGCCAGCCACGAGGCCTCCTCGTCCTGCTGCACGCGGTTGCGGACGATCTCGTCCACCTCAAGGATGAGCTGCTGCTGCTGCTGTGGGGTCTGAAGCACGTCCGGGAAGTGCAGCAGGGGCTGGATGTGCTGCTCCTGGTGCACCTGCGGGGCCGGCTGCTGCTGGTAGTAGACGGAGTGCTGGGCGATGTGGTGCGGGGGGCTTTGCGGGGGAGTGAGGGCGCCGCCGTGGCGCTCCACCTTGTCGAAGACGAACTCGAACTCCTGGAGCAACGTCTGCGTGTCGGCTTGCGGCTGGATGGTGGTCAAGAGCCCCGGGCCGCAGTCGGCCGTCGGGTGGTGGTTGACGGGCAAGTGCAGGAGCGCGACCGCGGGCTGGAGTTGCTGCTGCTGCTGCTGCACGGTGGTGAGCGGCACCAGGACGGCGGCGGGTGGTGCTGGCGTCGGGTAAGCTGGGTTGGCGGCCACGGCGTACGGCGCTCCCGTCATGGGCAGCGGCATTGCCGGCGGCATGCACAGCCCGGCGAACGGCCGCGAGGCCAAGCCCGCCTCATCCTTGGACAGGGAGGGCGTTGGCGACGGCAGCTCGTCGAAGATGGCCTGGTCCGTTTTCGTTTCATACCAGTCTGGGAAGGGTTCTGCAACAGAGGAGGAAACACGACCGTCAGTACACCCATACGACTCATGGCATGTAATTACAAAAATAGCAATTAGGGGAGGGGAAGGGGACTCGGACCCTAACGGTTAAGCTGTCTCTGGTGTGAGGGTCGGGGTACGGGTGAGAGGTCAGAGGTCAGGCGTGACGCGCTTCCGGCACGTGGCCGACTAGAGAGGGGTAGGGGTGGCAGGGCCGCCCCGCAGCCCCCCGCGTGGCTCACCCGCCCGCCGGAGATATATAAGGTGCAGACACCGACCCGTTCAGACAGATAGCCCGCAGAGTGCAAGGTTCAGCAGGGAGCACTTAGACAATGCCGCCTGCCTCACCCACCACCGCCGCCGCGCAGCCGCCGCCGCCCGGGGCGACGACCCGACACCACACCAGCCTAATAATCTGAGTCGCGACACGCCGCCGCGCCACGCCACGCCACGCGGCTTCTAGAAGTCTGGGCGCGGCGGCAAAGGGTTGCGAAAGGTTCGGGACTGACGGAGTGACGGCAAGGAGCCAAACAAAGTGACCGATCAGCCATCAGCCGATCGTCCAGCAGGCAGGCAGGTCCTCCTGTGTGGGCGGTCCGTCTCCGCGCTTCCCCCTGCAGGCCAGATCGCCTCTGCTCGGCCCCGCCCCGCACAACAACACCGATAAGCAAGTGGGTTAGCAAACAGGTGCGGGCTCCGCTGCGCCCGCTAGGCTGCGCTGGGGTCCAGCCGGGCCTCGGCTCTAGGCGGGGCGGGGCAGGGCAGGCCTATTGGAAGCGACACGCGGTGCGGGGAAGCGGCCGCACCACCAACCAACGCGATAAGCGCGCACCATCTCGATTGTTTTCGTATGGAGGCAAATATTTTACGCCCGCAGAAGCGATGACGACAAAGATAATCAGTTTTATATTCTCTGCAGCCAACCAACGCCAACACAATAGCCTATGATGTGTACGGAAAAAAAAAATATCGGAGAGAGAGAAAGAGGGAAAAATAATAATGTTCTTATCTTTTGAACTACCACCGACACGCATTATCTTGGCATGATTTCATATACCCTAGATTCAGATTCTGGCTCTTTCAAGTCAAGACAAGATTTTCCGAGCAGTGCATTTTGGCCGCTTGGCCGTCCAATTGAGTGGCCAGGGACGGTTGGCAGACAAACTGGTCCCATATAAGACTCAAACACACACACATACACACACTCTCTCTCTCTCTCTCTCTCTCACACACGCACTCACACCATAGACGTGAGGGTTCTGCTTGTCCAGAGAGGCGAAGGGGATTTAGGGGAGAGGCGAGGGGTTTGAGGTGAGGTGTCTGCTGGCGCCTTTGCGCTGGATGATTTTTTTAGGCCCGCGATTAGCGGTGCCTATTGCTTTCGCCCGAAAGTTTTGTCTTTTTAGGCCCCCGATTAGGGGTGCCTATTGCTTTCGCCCGAAAGTTTATTTTTATTCTTGACGATGGCCCCTTATGGCAGAGCCAATCGTGCCCAAGCGA